ATTATTACTGATTTCAACTCCCCATTCACTAAAAAAAAAAAAATTCAAAACAACCATCAGTGTACACAATGCTCAAAACAATCCAGATACAGATGGATGGCACATGCGCTTTTTTTTTTTTTGAGCATTCCCCATGACAGCTGTTTGATTAAGATTTAAATTTTCTCAGGAATCATGGGAGCTAGATGAGGCTTGTGGGTACATTTCTATGATCTCTGCTTAGCTAGTGAACTACATGATCCCACTCACTGCAAGCTTATTGCCTCACAGGAGCCAAACTTAGAGCCCTGTCAGCAGAAGGCACTATGCGCTCTCACAGAGAACCTGGACCAGCTGCTGCTGACATACGGGAAGGGAGGAGAGAGGCAGGGAGACAGGAAGGGCGGCGAGAGGTGGCACTGCTGCAGCTCCTGCCAGAACAACTGCCATCACTTCCTGCATCATCAGTAGCAGGTCTTGTCTTGGACCGTTTAGGCAACGTTTGCTGCTCAGGTATGCTCTCTGTCCACTTCCAGGGAAATACGATGGATGGAAGTGTTTCACGGGACCACAATGCCTTAGCTGCACTGCTAATTACAACAGGTTCCAGTAATTTTATTTAAACAAGTTAGGACAAAGAAAACCGTTCTCACCAAGCACACCTACACTACTTAAGCTTCAATTTTGGGTGAAGGAAGTATCTTCAAGGGCATAAACATAAATGGGATCCGCAGCATCCACAAGCAACCAAACAACTGTCCTTTACTGCTTTGAAAATGTCAGCCCAAGAAACTAAATAAGCACTATGCAAAGAGCAGGATATGCCTTCCAGCTGTGTTCGTAGATTTGCTGAACTTAAAAAAACATTTTCATAAGGACAACACAAGCTGGTATTTCTGGATCAAAAAAAGCAGATCTGGGGGAAGAAAGGCATGCAGTCCCTATTACTACACCTCCTTCTGATAAATCTAGGGTCCTTAGAAGTGCATTAACCCTTCTAAGCTAAAGCTTAAAAAAAGCTAAAAAAGGAATTAAAGGACAAAGTCTGCTGTGGTAGAACTCCTAAAGTAGCAGCTTCATTTTAATAATCTAAAAGTATTTACATATTCATACATGTGGGAAAAGTGCAGTTCAAGTATTTGTCTAGCACCCAGCGAAAGACAGCAGAAAGTGTATCATGGATTTAACCAGTCAGCAAGTTTATATTATAAATACGGAATTATATTAAAAACCAACTGACATTTCTCAGTATTTCTGTGAATGAGGAATTGCCATAAAATTCTACTGGAATAAATCAGTAATTGCCCTGATATTCAAATTTTTAAATAGTATTTGGAAGTAAACCTAAAGTAAGTTACCATGAACTCTGTATTCAAGACAAAGATTAGTAGATGGTAATTAGCCAGGAAGCTAGCACAGCCTTATGGAATGATTGGATTGCTTTTTAACATAGCACCATTCAAATGAAAGCATTTTAATAAAGCCAATAAAAGAACAGCTAGGTGACAAGCAATGTGGGCCATATGTACAGAACAGATGTTACCATGACTCTAGCAATCTAAGGGGAAGTAAGGAACATGCAACTTGACATACACCACCAGTACAAAATTAGGGCAAGAAGAATATTCCCATTCTGACACTGGATGTCATATGCAGATATTGAAAGAGTAGAAGAGACAGAGCTCAGCCGTAAAAGTGATATGAAATTCAGAGAAAATATGTTGCAGTGAAAGACTTGAAAAGTGCAATCTGTTTAGTTTATCATAAACAAGACCAACAGATGATTTAATCACTGCATACAAAAACCTTTGCTAAAAAAAAATCTCAAAGCAAAACTACTCTTAAGATGCAGCAGAAAAAGATATCAGAAGTTTGGAAGCCGAAAGCAGGTAAATTCAAATAAAGAACTGCAAATTCTTAAATATGAAAACAACCAACTGCTTTAAAACCTCACTCAAATATAAAAAAAGACAGCCTATCTTAATCAAAGCTGGTGCATGTGAATTTGGCTCAATGAAGGGGTTACTGGGTGAAATTTAGTGGCTAAGTCAGGCTAAGGTCACTTTATAGTCTTAACTCCTAAATTCACAAAACATGTTGCTTGCTATATCAAACAGGCACCTGTTCATGCTGTAATGAAACAGTGAGACACTCAGCAAGAAGAAGTGATAAACATTCAGTGTACCTAATTAGTAGAGCAGCTGTTACCCAAATTTTTCTGTTAGCTTGGAATTGATAAAAAATGCAGCTTCTAATTAGTACAGAGTGTGCTTATCTTTTTGTTAGAAGTGTCAAACTGTTTCATTACCACAAAAACAGAAAATACTTTGATGTAGATAATACAATTTTAACTATCACGTGTCCTTAATGCTTTTCAAATTTTAAGTAGTAATAGAAAACCATACTATACACCATATTGTGGGAGCTTAATAATATATAGGAGATATGAAATAAGGATAATTTAATCTCACACTTTTTTTAGATATAACCAACTTCTGAAGCAAATTATGCTAAACTACTTTTCAAATTAGGTATTTACTAGAAATAATTTTGGAATTTATTTTTTTAAATAGAGCTTTCTGCTAGCTTTTTTTTTTCTTTGTCAAAATTTTCCCATGAACACTATTGAGATTGCAGGTTCTTGATGGGCATATCTGGAAGGTACTGATCCTTGAATCCAAAGGCTCACTTATGGAGCCGTGTTGAATGAAATTACGTTTTCTCCATTGCTGAAATAGAAAACTTTGCAGAGATTGAAAGATATCCTTGAGTCTTCAAGTGCCTGACCAAGTTGATTCTGGATGAAGGGCAGATTGGGCATTTTGGGTTTAGGCTCAGGTAACAAATCATAAACACTGAATATGTGCATATTTGGAATCACTGCTCTAATCATCTAAGGAAAGCACTCAGGCCTCCAACTTATCAGGATCTCATCACGTGAAAGAGAATAGTTATACTGAGCAGCGTAAGCATCTAAAGGTTCTGTCCTTTTAGCAGGCTATATGGTAAATCCATCTCCCCTCAACCTTATGTGTTCGCTGGCTCATCACAGTGTTGTTCTCTGCAGGAACCAGTAAGCACATGCAGGAGATACAGCTGGTACAAAGTACACTTGAATTTCCAAGAGACATTTAATAAAGGTTTTTCTTCAGAAAGTCTTAAAAGGCCCTAAATAGCCAGGGTACAGAAAAAGGAACTCACTTAGACATGTAACTGGCTAAAAGACAAAAAGGAGCTGAAGAAAATGATCAGTAGAGTAAGGCAGGGATCTGAACTTGGACATAGAGTATTCAACACACACTTCAGCAATCTGATAGAGGTGATGAATAGTAAGGTAAATATTGGAGTTGAAGACTGGCTATGAGAGCTACCAAAGGTACTTACTACAGTGGATAACTGGGCAAAAGAATGGCAGCTCAACCTCAGTGCAAGTAAAGCTTGAAGCGATCCATGTGGTACAGACATACCCAACTTTGTGTCTACAGCAACGAGCTCTGACTTATATGCCTAAGGAACGGGATCTTAGGCATTCATGAAAAGACACATTCAGTGTTCAGTAGTAGCCATAAAGCAAATAAAATATCAGTAATTATTAGAGAGGGAAGAGATAAGAATACATACTAAACCAGAAATTTTCCCCATTTTCAAAATTGCAGTATTTTAAAACAAATGTGGGACAGGAGGAGGGGAACTGGAAAAACTCCAGAGAGAGGCAAAAGCATGATCAGAAGTACAGAACAACTTCTACATGAGAAATAACTAACTAAACTAGGACTCATCAAACTGGTAAAGCAGAGGGGTAGGACAGAGAGCCCTATAAAAGCCTACCAGGAAAAGCTATCAGGAGCCAGGAAATTATCAGTCCATGCTCGTCCTGTTCTCATATTCTTAGCCAGGCATCTGCTGTTGGTCATGGTCAGTAACAATACTGGGCTGCCCCTACCTCAGGCTGACCACACATAACCAGCCACTCTTGTGTTAGCCTGGATGCTCTGCGATAGCCGCACATACCCATTTCTTCATCCTCTTGTATCATGCTCTTAGTGAAATAGATGAGGTTCTGAAACTAACTAGAGGACAAAGTGTTTCGCTCAAGTTTTGCCTCTGGTAGGTATTTATTTGGGGATTCTATATCTTGTCCATTTTAATAACCAAACCACAAGGAGGCTGACAAAAATCTTCATTATAATCGCTTATAAACCTGTTTAGAATAGCTATATTCTCTCCCTTGTGGGGCAGATAATGATTAGACCTTTTTCAATTTTATGATGACAATGCTAGACTGACAGTAAGAAGAAATAACAACATAGATGTTAATACTGTGCAGGAAAGGCTGATCATGAGAAGCAAAAAGGACCAGGAGAAAGAGACGGTCTCAGTACTCAGAGCTGGTAAATGTCACTGTCGAAGTTTTTAATCATAAAATTTGCTTTACTCATGGACTTTTCATTTTGCTAAGTCAAAGCTACACAGCTAATGAGCCTTGGTTCCATCTTTGAGAGACCGGGGGACTATCACCTAATTGAAAACCACTTGTATGAAGAGGCTTAGAATATTTTGCTATGTAGTTTTGTTTCAGGGGGGAGGAGGCAGGGGGGAGGGGGGGAAGACAGGCAGCACCCTGGTAATGGTTGTGCCAATACAATATTACAACAAAATATTTAGTAACATGGGAGATTTCTATTCTCCTTATAATAGCAATAAGAAAACCAGAACATAACTCCCTCCTCCCCACAGTCTTTGAAAAACAATCACTTAGTCTCTTTTAAAGTAAATTAAAATGGACAATTGCCATAACATTAATCTAAAACTTTAGACTACTTAGAGCAATGAACTTGTTTTCATACATACCAAATATTCTGCAAAGCTTGGGGAAATACATGCAACATAACTCTCCCTACAGATGACAAGCTTTGGTTTAAGTAAGGCATTTTAATAGACTGACTCTAATCATGTAAAGCTAAAAGGTAATTTTGCAGTTCATGGCAGTAATCTGACAGTTTAAGATAATTTGTCTCATTCTATAACTCTGCACTTACCCCTTGTTCATCCAGCTTCATAAGCTGTTCTGTGACTTTTGGAGTGTTGAAGGCCAGCCTTAGGCAATGGATATTCAGCTCAGGAACCACATACTCCAGCACTTCTTTTAGGGGAAGTCCCCTGGCTGTGCAATGCTTTGCAGTTGAAGGGATAGCATCTTCCAGCACAGAGCCTCTTAATGTCATAAGCTAAGCATACAAAACAAAACCAGCTTAAATATTGAATTATGCACTGAGAAAAGGCTGATTAGCAATAGCAGTGCAGCAAAACACACTATTTTTCCAGTTCTCAACAGAGACTGCGGACATTAAGTAACTTATGTTGCATGAAACAGACACTGATACGCAAAATGTCACTCTGATAGCTAACAGTAGTCAGAATATATCAAATGATTCAACAGATTTAAGTTTTACAGGAAACTAATACTTAAAAAAGATTAGTAGTAGTATTTCTAGCAGAACATTTCAAAGTATAAAAAGTACGCTTCTCAGGTCCACCGTCACCTATAAAAGTTGAGGAAGTAATTTTCCTCTACTTTGCTTGCTTCTAGCTAATACAGCTCCTGTAAGTTTCTCAAGCTTTAATCAAAACAACCTTCACAGTTTCCTCTGTATTGGATGTGATGAAATAACTCACTGATACACTTACTTGTATTGTGTGTAATATAAACATGCAGCCTAACTTTGTCCAGAGATCCCTGGATTATATGTGTGCAGAGGAGACAGAAATCTATTATCAATGCTGAAAAGCACACAAACCCCACACATACCACCTCGTTTTGCCTGCTCACTTCTAGCGTCTTTTGCTATCATTCCTGAACTGTTTACCTCACTGGTTCTGAATATGATCCGGTAGTTGTATTGAGGTCCATTTTCTTTGATTTCCTCTGGCTTCTCTCTTCTTATACTCACAGCTACCGGACCCAGGTTCTCATCTGCCCCAAAATAGTTCCAGTGTTCTTGCATACAAAAAGAGAAATAGAACACACGAATAAAAGTCTGACTTATGTCTTACACTTCAACAATATTTTCACGCTTAATTGTTATACTGGAAATAAATTGCCAGCTCCACTAGAGTCAATAAAAGCATGTCTTCGGTGGTTTCATTCTTGTGATTTCATTCTCCTGCCTCAGTTCTCTAATGAGCTCTGTGTATACAAGAAGGCTGAAATTCAACATTGCTTCTCTGCTTAAATGGGACTAAACCAGGATACACCTCTTACATTAGCTCTAATATCGCAATCTGTTTCATTCACATTGAGCTAAGTAAGTACAACCAATTTCCCTCCCTTAAAAATAAAAACAAGGAAGCCAAATGCATTGAAGTGGGAAACTCACCACTATGTTAAAATGAGAGCAGCAAACAATTATACTTAGCAAAGGATGTAACTTATTTTTGTACAGAAAAAGCAAAAAACAGTCAAACAAGTTACTCAATTTTAAAAGGGGAAAAACTGATGAAGCTGAAGAAGAAGTTAAAGACTTGTTCATAGTAAAAAAAAAAAAATCAAAGCACAGTACCACAGAAAAATAGAATAAAGTGCAAGAAACAAAGTGACTAGCATAAATATTTAACAGTGAAGTGTCGAACAACCCTAAGAGTAAATTTAAAGTGCTAAGAGTTGAGTCTAAAACTAGCCTAATTGGGAAGGTGGCAGAGAGGAGAATACAGGGCTGGAGAAATTGCTCACTAGCTGAACAGTAGATTATTTGAGATACATTTTTATATTCATTTAACTATAGACATGTAAAGCTAAGCTTTACATGAAAAAATATTAGAAAAGTGCATTTACAAAAATTAAAGCTCAACAATTTGAGAGATTGGTGTTGAAGGCTCCTCTATTCAGCCTTCTGAGCATTATGAACCGTCTTGACTGATGACAGAGGTACATCACCATGAATGAAGCAATATATAAACAAAGTTGCACATATCTCAAGTGACAACAACTGAATTTAAACATACAATACCTGAAAGGAAAATTTAAGAGAAACTGTCAAAAAAAAAAAAGAAGTCAAGCATTGTACAAGAAAAGTTAAGTCCTATGTCATCACTTCCCATATGCTGTGTATATGAATGAATTTATGCATGGACCAAACCAGAAAGTTAGAGCTTTCTGAAAGTTCAACAATGCAAAGAAGAAATGTGAAATTCAGTGGCATCAAAAAGACACATAACTGCCCTGAAAGAAAATGTAACCATACTGCCTGAACTACTATATACAGTTTACTTGTTATTCTTAAACCAACCAGAACTTTAAAACAAGGGCTTTAATAGCAGTCTAATACAAGCTATTCTGCTATAGAGCTAAAATGTAAAATATTTCAGTATCATCATCAAGAACTGCAACTTTAAAGATAATAAAAATAGATATTGAAATACACTCCATCCAAAGTGAATGCGAGTCATTTTTCAAATAAATAATCACTTGCAGTGATTGCATTAGAGCAAAGGGTTTTTTTACTGGCTGCCAACAGTTAAAGGAAAGTTGACCAACAGCCACATTCATTATAAAACCAGCTCAGGAAACTATTTACTTCTCAGTCAAGTCTTTCATTCTAAGCCAGTAACTCAAATTTGTCCTAAATGGTAACGATATTAGCAACTACTGCTTGATGATGACCAAAGCTAAACGGATGCTCTTGGTTCTTTCCATAAGAACTGTAATTCCCAGACACAACTTGGGGGACAAAGAGAACAGACTGCTCCTCCAGAGCGATACACTCTCTTTTCTAAGCAGCACCCAGACAAGCTGATGGAAAGAAATTTTTCCATCCTTATGGTTTTATTATTGATAATAAATAAGTCTTTAATATCAAACTATAGATAGACTAATAAGCATGTCTCTCCTTGAAAAATACATTACTGCTGATAATTAACCCATTACCTAAACGTATAAACATTTATAAGACTTTATCCAGAATACATATGCAAAGATTTTACCCATGTATGGGAAATAAATTCAAGTCTCGATGATAAGTTATGGCCAGACATTTGGAATTTCTAAGTAGAAACCAGAAAACATTATGATACTACTTAAGTCTGCAGTTTGCTTGTGTCTTAAATACTGTGCCCTGATCTCAACTGGAAGAGGTTCAGAGAAGGGCAACATAACATGATTGAGGGTTTATGAAATAACACATAGCAAGGAAAGGTGAGAAACCCAAACTTTTTCACCTAGCAGTGAGACTGTTTAATCTGATGACCCTAGTTTTAATTCTGGAAGCTAGTAGACAAAGCTAGTACGAACGGGCTCTTTATGACCAACGCAGTCAAGCTGCAGAACTCCTTGCTGCTGCAGGAGTACTGTGAACACCAGAAGTTTATTCAGGGTAACAGACAACTGGATAAATGACTGGAAGATAAGTCCAAAGACTACTAAATACAAATGATACAATCACCAGGTTAGGTTCATTATCTACGCATCTCCAGAGGCTGGCAAAGTACACGCAGAAAGCATCGCTATACCTTTGCCCTATTCTTACTCTTCCTTCAGTATCTGTTGCTAGCCTTTGCCACAAGACAGAACTAGAAGTTTTGGGTTGACCTAAGACAACTCTTCCCTTCTCTGGAAACTGTGATTTTATGTCCAGAAGCAGTGAGTTCAAGGGGTTTGCTTCTCTTTTTTTTTAAAAAAATAAACTGAAGCATTGCTGTCAATAGTACGAAATGAATTCGAGGGGGTAGAAAGTTATGCATTTAAGTAAGAATCCCACTTTCTCACACAAACACATCTTTTCTTAAATTTCAGTAAGAAGGCCTGAACAACTTGTTCCTCCTTTTTGTCAAAAAATATACTTTTTATCAAAACTGATGTTCATCAGCTGTCTTAACATGTATTTTCTTAGAAGATTAGTTCCAAGGTTTTATACTTCAAAATCATAGGACAAACAAAAATGTTAGAATGCTCTACAAGGAAAAAATAGTCCAGAAAGTAGCCCCAAAACAATTGCCAGATAGCTTCTTGAAATCTTCCCTTCCCTCCCCCACCCTTACATTTGGTGCCACTGCATAGAAAAGAAAAAACACTCAAACAAGTCCAACCTGTTTTCCTTCTGATGAATTCTAAAAGCACTGTGTTTAGAAAGAAAATATTTTATTTCAATAATCACAGATTTGTTAAATTTTGCCCAGTACCAGCACACTGTGAAACATTTCTGTTGTTATTAATGATCTCATTTGTGTATTTCAGCCAGTATTCTGATTTCACTCCAGTGGGTCCAGATTATACTGTTGCCCTTGGACACAACCAAGAAGCAAGAGCTGAAAGCAGATATACATTATGGCACAAGTGAGAAAGCATGCCAATACTGAACTGAAGCCAGCCTTACTCTGTCCAGCTACCTCCATCTATACGAACTGCAAACCACTCCAATAAAGAGGCATCTTAAAAGAAGGGACTTTATCAGATTAAGAAACAGAGATGCCAAGAGACCCTGTTATCTTAACTCAAACAGGTCAAAATTGTCTTTTCAGGTACTGAAGTTAAGAGAAGAAGAGAAAGTGTCATACAAAAAAACATGACCACCATGTAAAATTCAACCAGTGAAGGAATTCCTTTAGTAAGTTTTTCCTATGTACAGTTATCCTTTTTGTTCAAAGCTTAATCTTACTTCAAGGTCAAATTTGTGCAACTTTTACAAATTTGTTCTTGTGCTGGTTTCCCCCCCGCCCCCCACCCCCCCTTCT